TGGGCTCTGAGGCAGCTCTTGGCTGGGCATCTCTTGCTGTCCCTGGGTGCTGTGCTGGTCCCAGGGCCCAGGCATTGCTGGTTCCTTTAAGATGTAAGTTAATAGTGCTGTGTATGCACTGTGCTACCTGTCCCGAGAAGCGCTAATCACAGGTAATTAGCCTGATGAGTCACATGACTAGAGCTGAAAAGGGCTGCAGGACCTGGTGCTATGCTGGGTGTTGGGGGAGCAGCACTGGGGGTGATGGAGCTGGAAGGGAAAAGGACTGATTTGGGGGACTGGTGTTCCCCCCTCCCCTTTCTTCAGAAAGAAGGTGCCAGGGGAGAGGGGATCCCCAGTGCTGGTGGGGGCTGTTGGAAGGCTTCCCAAGGTGTGTCACCTTGGCCACATGCAGTGCTGGGATGGCTCTGGCTCCAGCACTGGGCAGAGGGCACCACATCAGGTGAGTGGTGCCCATTGTGTGCCTGTGGCCATCCCTTTCCTCACCACCAGCCTTTGCCCTCTGTCTCTTTTCTGGGAAAAGCCCTGAATTTGTTTCTGGGTAGCCCTTCACCCTTTCACCCCCCTGCAGCCCTGTCCCTCCATCCAGGGAGGGGAGAGGGTTTTCGGCCTCCTCCCCCTGATCTTGCCCCAGTCAAACCAAAATGGTTTCCTTCCCCCAGGGCTGTGCCTGGGCCAGGGGCTGGTGCTGCTGCTGTGGGATGGACCAGGAAGAGCAGTGAGGGCAGGGATTATTGGAATGAAATGATGGAGGAAAAAAAACCCTACTGTAAATATCTTTTTGTTTGTTTTTCTGTTGTCAAATAAAAGGTTTTTAGTTTTGGTTGTTTTTTTTAAAATACGAGCTGTGTGTCAGACTGGACTGTGTCATTTGTGAGTGCCTCACTTGATCCTCCCCCACCACCAGCTCTGCCCACACATGCTGACACTCAGCCAAAGGAGCTTTGGAGCTGGAACACCAATGGGTGGGAATATGGGGCCAGCCCCTGGCACAGCTCTGTGCCCATCCCACTGTCGTTTGGACTCACGTATGTGCTCACTTCCCATAGGGTCTGATCCCGGTGTTGGGAGCCAGGAAGCATTTGGCAGCAGCAGAAGTTGGTGTGTTTGTGTCTTCCCTCCTCCTGGTTGGCAGGGACACGTAAGCCAGCACAGCTCTGGGGGCAGGAGCCTTGGGAGGGGTGTGGGGGTCTTGTAGAGCAGCAGCTCCCACGAGCTTTGCCACAGCAGGCAAAGGGAATGGACCAAAGGTTCTGCACTGCTGCCACAAGCCAGAAATCCTGAGCTGGAAGGGCTCCTTGAGTCCAACTCCTGGCCCTGCACAGGACACCCCAGCAATCCCACCCTGTCCTTCAGTGTTGTCCAAACCCTCCTGGAGCTCTGGCAGCCTTGGGGCTGTGCCCACTGCCCTGGGGAGCCTGGTCAGTGCCAACCACCCTCTGGGGGAAGAACCTTTGCCTGAGACCCAACCTGACCCTGCCCTGGCACTGCTCCAGCTGTTCCCTTGGGTCCTGTTCTCTGTGTCGGGGCTGTGACATGCCGGCAGCACGGGCACTGCAGCAAGGGGGGCTCAGGGTGCCCCAGGGTCACCAGCCCTGCACACACAGGGCTGCAGTCCATGCCAGCTCCATGCCCTGTGAGATATCCCTGCTCCTTGTCATGGTGGGGGTGCAGTGGGTGCCAGTCCCAGCCCCTTGCAGCCCCCTCACCCCTTCCTGGGCTGTACTGTGACCCCTGGAGCTCTGGGCAGGGACTGGGCAGGGATGGAGGCACCAGGCCTCCAGCCAGGCCTCACTCCTGCAGCTCCAGGGAAAACCCTGGGCCACCACGGTGTCAGGAATAGCACCAGGATGTCCCCCACCCTCCATGGGCCACTGGTGCTTTGTGCTTGTGGTGAGGGATGTGGAATGGGGCACATTCCCATGGGGAATGGGGGGGTTGGAGCTGGGACTCAGCCAGGGCAGGGTCTGCAGCCCACCTCAGGGGTCTGCAAAGTGACAGAGGGTCATAGCTGGGGGAACCACAGCTGGTACCCCCCAGCTCTGCTGCCCCTCCTGTGGCCTCAAGCAGCACCTCAGGGCTCCTGAGCTGCACAGAGGTGCCTTTGCCACCCATCAGGCGCTGGGGACCTGCAGACAGGACAGGCAGAGCCTCGGGGAGCTGCACCCACCACCATGGGGAAGGGACCCCTGGCCCCCGCAGGGGTCAGGACACGGTGCTGCGGGCGATGGGGCCCAGCTGGCACTGAGTGGCGTTACAGGGGAGAGGGGCACTGGTCTGACCTCTCCCACCCTCAATACCTTCCAGGGCAGCAGCTGGGACCGGTGATGGCAGGAGGGGCCCTGCTCTGTCCCAGCCCTGGGCACACTCAACAGCCTCGTTAATGCCACACTTTCCTACTTAAAAGAATCATCACACGGTTTGCAGTGGGAGGGACTTTAAAGACGATTCAGTCCCACCCCCTGCCATGGGCAGGGTCACCTTCCACCAGACCGGGTTGCTCCAAGCCCCATCCAACCTGGCCTTGAATACTTTCAGGGATGGGGCAGCCACAGCTTCTCTGGGCAACCTGTGCCAGGGCCTCCCCACCCTCACATTGTGATATTTCTTCCCAATATCCCACCGACCCCTGCCCTCTGGTGCTGGGAAGCCATTCCTCCTTGTCCTGTCCCTCCAGGCCCTTGTCCCAAGTCCCTCTCCAGCTCTCTTGGAGCCCCTTTAGGCCCTGGAAGGGGGCTGTAAGGTCTCCTGGAACCTGCTCTTCTCCAGGCTGGACACCTCCAACTCTCCCAGCCTTTCACAGTTCTTACACACTGCCAGCACTGCCTCAAAAATACCCACGGGTGGGTCAGGCCCCGGGCCCCCTCCCTGGCAGCTGCACCCCCGTTGCTGGGGCTGTGCCTCGAAGCAGCAGGGACAGCCGCGCACCCCGAGGGTCCCCGAGCCCCGCACGAGTGGCCGGGGCAGCACAAACCCACCCAGCTCCTCTTGCCGGGATCACCCGGGAGCGTGTCCCGGAATGGCCTCCCAGGGAGGTGCCAGCCTGGCTCCCGAGCCCCGGTTTGACGGGGGGGACCGGGGGCACCCGAGCAGATTGTGCGGGGCCGGTGCCGCGGGGCCCACGTGCATCCACAGCGAAAGAGGCGCTCCGGGGGAGCCCCGGGGAACAGCCGCTGTGTCAGCGGCTCCTGGGCCGGGAGAGCCGGGGCCGCAGCGCCAGCCGGGGCACGGAGCGGGCCAGGGACCGGGCACGGAGCGGGCACACCCTGGGACACGGACTGAGTCTCCCCCCACTCCCCCGGGACCCTCCCCCGCCCGGGGCCCTCGGGGGCGGGGCTGGCCTCGTCCTGCAACTACGTATGTGTTGTGATTGGTTGGCAGGACCGGTCGCCCCGCCCACAGGTTTTTCCCGGAAGTATGTTTGACACAAGGCCACACCCCCGTGTCCACTAGAGGCGGCCATTTTGTTTCGCCCGCCATCTTATGACAGGGCGCAGCCATTTTGTGAAACGTCATGCCGCTCTGTGATTGGCTGGTAGCCATCTCGTGACACTAGGGCACCCACGTGATCTCAGGCAGCCCTATGATTGGCTGCGTGCTCCCTCTGGCCTCAGATAAGAATTATATACGTGAAAGTGAAATTGTCATACAAGGGCGTGTTTAAATACTTGTAAGACATTTTTTTGTTTATGTGTTATGCACCTATTTATACATGTAACACTTTACTGCGTGTTTAAATATGTGTAAGACATTTTTTCTATATGTTATGCATTTATTTATATATGTAACACTTTACCCCTGTATTGGTATGTATATATGTATGTATTGCATATATATGTAATTTAATATAGTTATGTAATTAACATATGTAAATGCATTTATGAAGCTGTAGGGATTAGGTACTTTTAATATATTTTATATATTTTAATATAAATTATATGATACTGTGTAATAACATATAAACACATAATTATTATTTATATTCATTATTATGCGACTAATATAAATGATATCTCTAACACACAGGTATCACACAGGTGAGCAGGTAAAGCCCAGGGGGTGGGCGCTCTGCCAGCCCATCACACCCAGCGTGACCACAGAGGGCACAAACACCCGGGCAGGACCCCACCCCGCCCTGCCCACCCCGAGGAACAGCCTTGTGTCCCCCTGCCCTGGGATGTGGCCCCTCACAGATCAGACCAGGGGCAGTTCTGGTTGGTTTTAGGGTAAATAACCCACTCTCTGCACTCCTGGGAGCTCTTCTCTCTGAGGGGCAGCAAACAAATGAGTAAGGTGGGCACAGCCCCCCCCGAGCCCCCAACCCACTGCCCACCCAGCCACCCAGCCCAGGGTTGTGACTGTCACTGAACAATTTGGGGGGCTGAGCTGGTGCTCATTGACCCTGGAAAGGGGCAGCTCTCCAGGACAGCTCCCAACAGCAGCCTCAGCCACTTTGGGAAGAGTAAATAAAACAAAAATTTAAAAAGTTAAAAAAAAAAATCACATTTCCCTGGTATTCCCTAAAAGAGCATCTTTGCAACCCTCCCCAAAACCCGACAGTGCAAGACAACAGTGTTTCCACCCCCACAGAATCATTAAGGTTATAAGAGGCCTGCAAGATCAGAGTCCAGCCTTCAACCAAATCCCCCCGTGCTCACCAACCCCTCTCCCCAGGTGCCACCTGGGAACACCTTGGGGACACATCCAGGGATGGTGACTCCAGCATTGCCCTGGGCAGCCCATGCCCAGGCCTGACCACCCTTTCCATGAAGAAGTTTTCCCCAATATCCAACCTCCTCTGGCACAAATTGAGGCTGTTTCCTCTTGTCCTGTCCTTTGTTCTGTGAGAAGAGCCCAACCCCCACCTCAACCCGGTGTTGAATTTGAATCACATCATGGCCAACCTTTGATGGGAATCCAGCCCCATGTTTCAGAGTTTAGGGTTGTGGGCAGAAACATCTCATGGACAACCCAGGACAGCACGAAAGGCTCAGACAGCATTCAGGATTTCACTTTTATTTATTTTTTGCCTTCTGGATCACCAACACTCTCACTGAAACCTCTGGGATTCCACCTCCACCCCCATGACAGTAGCATACAATCTCCCAACTTGTTCAAACATGTGAAGAAAAAAAATCCCCAGCAAGATCCCTCAGGATGGGACAAAAACCTTTAGTGGGAGGGGGTGGCAAAGAATCGCGTAGTGGCAGCTCTGGCTCCGAGAAGCCAGAAAAGGAGACTTACAAAGGGAAAAACGGGCTAAAAAATATTTAGCAATCCTTCCTCTACCCAGAGAGCAGGGAGATAAGGAAAAATAGTCATCTGCTTACACACAGGGTATATATTTTTACACACACTTTTACACACATCTAGATATAGTACATGTAAAAATATATGCTATACATCTGCCCACCCTCACCCAGGTGAGTCCCACCTGCATGGTGTGCATGGGCAGGTATACGTGTGTAGGAATTACTATACAGGTACTACTAAGTGTATATGTGCATATGTACACATCGTACAGGCCGGTGGCCGCCCCTGCCCCCCTCTCTGTACACACACAGACCACCCACCCCAGCACCAGGATGCTCCCCTGCGCTCCCCCGGCCCCACCCACTCTAACAGGTCCCCCAGTGCAGCAGCTTCTTTCTCAACAAGCAATTCAAGGGAAGTAACTTGGGAAAGGGATGAGGAGAAAAATCAAAGTGATGTGGCTCGTGCTCTGTGGTCCTTCAGCTCCGCTCCTATGCCTGGAGGAAGGTCCAGCTCTCAGGATCAGTTGCTCACTGTCCCTTCCCCCTTTGCCAGGTTATTGCACGTTTGCTTCTGGGCTGCATTTCAACCCCTCTGTACATTCTACAGGCCCCAGCATCTTCTCCCTCCCACAAACAGAGGATACAACCCCCCGCCCCCAGTCCTTGCCCACCCCAATATCCCATCCCAAGGAACACAAACCCCGAGGAAGGCTGCTGGCTGGCAGAGTGCAGCAGGAGTACACACCAACAGGTGTTCTCTGCAGGGAGGGGGGTTTGGAACACGGGAACTGAAGCCATGCAAAGGGTGGGAGAAAGGGAGCAGGGGGAAGGAAAAATAAAGGATGAGAAGGGCAAAACAGATTTAAGGAGGAGGAAGAATACAGCATGGCAAGTGCTCAAGGCTTCATGTTTCCTTGTCCTCTTCTTGTAAACAAGCTAATAATTTTCATGAGATAGAACAAGTAAAAAGACTGAAGTTCCAAGTCGAGGGGCTGGAGTTCCCAGGAGTCTGTCCAGTCCGTTCAGCGACACCACAGCCAGGGAGAAAACGAGGGGCATTTTTTTCTTTTCTTTTTTTTTTTTCTTTGTTTTTTTTTTTCTTTTTTTTAAAATCTTCATTACTTAAAGCTGAGAGAAAAAAGCCAACTCAGGAGCCCTTTTCAAGGATGGCTCATTGTCTCTATACTGAATAAATCACACTAGTTTCAAGAGAACCTTTTTTTCCTTTTTAATGACTTATAAAACCCACCCGGTGCCGTGCTCCGCCCGTGGCTCAGAGGCGGGTCTGTGCCTCGGGGACGTAGATCTCGATGCTGTCGGCGCTCTCGGTGGCCGAGTTCTGCCGCACCGAGGCCGCGCGCTTGGCCGCCATCAGCCGCTTCCGCGCCTCCTGCCGCTGCTTGTCCGAGTCGGAGCCTTTGTCCCGGTTCAGCTGCGATTTGGACTTGGCTGGCTTCTTTGGCACTGGAGGAGGTGGTTTCTTCTCTTCCTTTAGGGAGACAGTAAGGAAAACCCCAAATCTAAAATAAACATGCACAGACAGATGCCTTCTCTGACCTGGTGGGGACTTGAGGTGTGAGGGACTGAGCAGTGAGATCCAGTGTCAGGGGAGAGAAGCAGGAGCAGCTCTCGAGCAAAACACACCTCAAAACCAGCTGCCCCAGTTTCTAGAGATGTGCCATTTTGCATTTCAGAGACTCATAGAATGTCTTTGAGGTAGAAAGGACCTACAAGACTCGTGGAATCACAGAATGGTTTGGGCTGGAAGATCATCCAGTTCCACCCCCCTGCCATGGGCAGGGACACCTTCCACTAGACCATGTTCCTCCAAGCCCCATCCAACCTGGCCTTGAACACTTCCACGGACGGGGAGTCCACAACCCAGAGGTTGATGGTCCACAGACAGGATCACTGAGTCCAACTCCTGGCCCTGTAGAGACGCCTCAAGAATCCCACCATGTCCCTGAGAGTCTGTCCAGATGCTCCTGGAGCTCTGGCAGCCTTGGGGCTGTGACCACTGCCCTGGGGAGCCTGGGCAGTGCCCAACCACCTTCTGGGGGAAGAACCTTTTCCTGAGATCCAACCTAAACCTCCCCTGACACAGCTCCATGCAGCTTCCACGGTACAGGGGCCTTCTGAGGTGGCCTGGAGTTCAGAGGTTGTGTCTGGCCGAGCTGGAGGTCAGGGCACAGTACAGGCGGCATGAAAACATGACTTGATCTGGAACTGCAAAATTTTAGTATGCTGCCCTGCCCTGAGCCACAGTCCTTCTACCCTTACCTGCAGAGCCAGGGACACCACCTCTTCTGCATTTTCAAAAGGCTCCAGTTGTTTTCTACACTACTCAGGCACTAGGAATAGTTAAACCCATTCACCCACTGCTGGGAACACTGGAGTCCCCTGCAGCACTGCTTACCACTCTGGGCTCTCTCCATCCCAACAGCTTTTCCCCTTGTACAAAACTGTTCCCACTTTTACTCAAGAAGAATGGCTTCAGTACCTTGCAAGGCTGTGAGACCATATAAGTGCCAGATGGCAGAAGCCCTTGAGAGCATCTGTCTGCAGACAGAAATAGATACCCAAAATTGTCTGCAAGGTGCTCTGGCCACTCTCCAGTGCCCCACACTCACCTTTCTCTCTGGTGTCTCTGCCAATTGCCAGCTATTCGCTTTCAGGTGGTACAGCTCATCAAACTTCATGCTGATGTCTTCAATGGACAACTGAAGGAGATCCCAAAATCCAGCCAAATCCTGGGCTGTGGGTCTGGGATTGGCATTAGGGTTCTAGAAGGGAAAGCATTAAAAAAACCCCTTTGAGAACAAACATACCTTCCTGCAAGCAGAGCAGCCTGCAACCATATTTTACCTTTTACCCTTTTACGCCTGCCTGCAACCAAAACCATCAAGAACCCACAGGAGACACCAGCCCTGAGCATGCAGACACCCAAAGTCATCATTTACAGCCCAAACCATTTCTGCCAAGCTCAGGAAGCAGAGGTACTGACTGCACTTCTACAGCAGCCTGAAGAATAGCCCTGAGATAGACACTCTCTGCTAGCACTAATCCCACAGCAGGAACCCCCACCTGAAGGTCCCCAGCATGGGAATCAAAGCCAGAACACTGGTTTCTTACACAGAGATCCTGATTTCAGGGGGGGAAATAATGGAAGTGGACACACCACGACACAAACATAGCTCTGATGCCTAGAGAATTCACATGCAGATGTACAACACTCCAAGGAGCCAAACAGAGCTTTCATAAGCAAAATTACTTTGCTCCATTCCCCCCCAAAAACAATGTGAAAGCACCAGTACTTCTCAGGCTAGGGTAAAAAAATTTTAAATAGCTTAAGTTTCTTCCAGGAACAGGATTTTTGCAGTTCCCAGACAGCTGAACTGCCATCGTCAGCCCTGGAAAGCCTGGGATCACATTGGAGCAACTGAGCACAAAGCTCTGCTGACAGCCTGGCAGCCTGTGCTGCTGCTGCTCAGCTGTGATCAGCCAGAGATCAGCAGGCAAATGCTCAGCACTTTACCCCTTCCTTCTCACGTTTCTCTGGGATTATTTTACATGTAAAGGGGAATTCACCTCTGAGAAAGCTGGCAAAATCCATAAAGCTTGAGGGGAAAACAAAACCACAGATTCCATCAATCCACATTAGCCCTGTTCAGCTCTGAACATTCCCTTTGCAGAAATCGATTCCTAGTGCCGTGTGACCAGTGTGACAGTCCTGTCGGGACAGTTTTACCAACCACATCATCTACACACAAAGGAAGCATGTCTGGTCTTTCCAAACAGTCCCTCCTCTTTAGCCAAACCTCAGCGGTTCACTCCAAAAAGCCCCTGAGAAGCAGCAGGTTAAGCCAGCCCTCACCCACCGTGGCATTGACCTGAGGCTACAGCTGCACTGGCCTTATTTTCAGTGTCAGCAGCCTGTTAATACCTCAACATGTTCCTGTAGTGCTGCTGAAGCAGATATATTTCCCTCTCAGAAACCAGAAGAGACAGATCCAGACTCACCAAGTTTTGCTCACAGAGGCCATGGAATTGCTGAAACTTCTGTGACATTAGTAATTGTGCACTGCCCACTGCACTCAGGACTTTTCCTAAGACTGTGGGTGAGGAAAAAAGAAAAAGACTTCAGTTGAACAGAGTATTAATTGCAGCAATAAACTCCAGTGTTTCTGAAGCAAAGAAGCACTCAAGTTATTAGAAAAACAGTTTCAGAGATCCTCAGGCACTAACTGCTCTCAGGGAGAGATGATGTTTTGAAACTATATTTGTCTTTACCATCTATTAATGCTCCTTCTGGCAGGCCAAAGGCAGACCAGGCTGAGGACATTACAACACCCAAGATGGCAGAAAGTTCTTTAAACTGCCCTCAGCCCCACCTCAGTGAGTAGGTCTGCTGGCACCTCTTCACAGATCACATCCTGCTCTTCCACCCCTGCACGAGGTGAAGGTGGCAAAGGGCAGGAGACCTGTCTGCAACCTCCGTGTACCAGCAGGGATTAACACACTGAGGACAGGGCTTCTGGCACCCAGGACTTCATGCTCCTCTTAACAGGTTTTCCAAGCAGCCTTCGGGCATGGCAACGTTCCTCTGCTCATTAGTGCAAATACGCGGTTTGGGTTCTTCCCTTCCAAAGGCAGGTTCAGAGCCTCCCCCACCCCCGGGCCTGCAGCTCCATCACTAGCAGGGACCAGCTGAGCCCCACTCTCCCCCTGCTCTGCTGCTGCACCTGAGCCAGCTCAGAGTGTTTGGAAATCTTAGTGGGACAGGCATGTGCTGGGCTCACTCACACCCACCAAGGGTCTGGTTACAGGATCTACCAGCAGATTGTTCTTAGAGGTCACAGCTCACACGGGTCTTGGTGTCTTTCCTTGCCAGAGCACTCCTGCCACAGGTCAAACCAGGTCACCCCGAGGCAGGGAGATCCCTGGCAAGGCCTGTACCCTCGGCAGCCAGGACAGCACTACAGGGCAATCGGATTAGGCATTAGCTCCCTGGGCCCCAGCAGTGACACTGAGCTAAAACTGAGCCTTACCTTTGTTTCACCTTTCTCAGGTATTAAAAACATAAAAACCAGACTCCATACAAAGATTCTGCCCTCTGCAACCCTGTCACCCACTCCTGTCACTCCACATGCACCATAGGCATGATTCCCACTGCAAAAAGCCCACAGTTTGTCAACTCATTTGAAAATAATGAAACAAGCCCAACTGGGACCGAACCCAATAATATCAAGTGGCCTTGTGTTCCCTGTGCATATGCTTTTGGTGTATTCAGCACAAATTCAGTGAGGCTTTCCCATATGAAGAAACCTCCACTTTCCTATAAAGACAAGTTCATCAACTGAACATATCAAACAAGCTCAAAAGTTGTGTTCATTTTGTCCCACTGCCAGCTAAGCTTTTCCCTGTTTGAATGTAATGCGTGAGGCTTGGAGAGATCCCACAGTCTCCCTGAAAGCTTTTTCCATTTAACTTCTTTTAAGATTAAATCCATTTAAGCTTTTAGCAGTTTTGAGTAGTCAGAAGCCACATCATCCCATGCATGTCTTACATGCTGCATCACAGCCTTATTTCTAATTCCATTTGCTAGAGGAAGTTACCTTATCCTTTCCAAGGAAAAAGTGTTCCTTATCCCATCCTCACCTCCATGCTCTGCCTCTGTGGGCTTCAAGTAATTTCACAGAATCAAGGAATGGTTTGGGTTGGAAGGCCATCTCATTCCAACTCCCTGCCATGGTCAAGGACACCTTCCACCAGGCCAGGTTGCTCCAACAACACCCATCCAACCTGGCCTTGCTCACTTCCAGGGATGCAGCAGCCACAATTTAACTGCAGAAAGCTGACCCAACACTCAGTAACAGATGCTGCCAGGCTGCTCCAGTTCAGAGGCTGCCAACACCCACCTTCCTCAGAGAGATTGTTCTCTTTGGTCTCCTGGTCCATCTGACGGCACCAGCCTTCCAAGCGCTCTGTCTCTGCCTGCAGCAGCTTCAGGAACCAGAACCCGTCCCGCCGGCAGGCTCCGGGCTGCGCGGGCTCCGATGGCGACGTGGAGGTCTCGAGCCAGGGGTCAGGAGGAGGAAGGGAAGAAGGCTCCAGGGCCGGGTCATTGTTTTCTCCATAGGAGAGGTTTCTCTTAATCTGTGAGGGCTTGGCTGGTTGCCTGGTGGCAGCATCAACACCAATGGAGTTGTGCTGGGGGCACTCAGCGAGGCTTCTCTCAGATGATTTACAGTTGGAGTTATTGGGCTCCTGTGTGTCAGAGTCTGTGTCCTGTTTGGAGGACATGCTGCGAGAGTGGCTGTTTCTAGAGAGATCAAAAGCAAACATTCAATAGCAGGACTCGACCTGGCCAGCCTCCCACACTGACAGTGAAATCCATTTGGTTTATGCCTACGGTGGAGCCTCACCCTGCCCCTCCTCACACACAGACACACCACACACTCAGACAGACAGAATTATAAGGTTGCCTGCTTACTGCAATCGGCCGTTCAGACGAGAGGGCTGACGCACATCTATAATTACAGCTTGTAGTTTTTTATTTTTTATTTAATGTCAAGCTCCTATTGATTTGGCTGTTACAGAACAAGTGGTTTTTGCAGTGGGTACGTGCTGTGGAGGAAGAGCTCTCCATGGGTCCCATTCAACACCACTCACTGGCACAAAGCAGGGAAGAAGGTCTAAGCAGAAGTGGGGGAAGCACAATTTAAAAAAAAGAAAACTACACAAGGTTGCGTCTCACTTACCGCCACTCGTCCTCTACCTGTACCCCGATGGACTGGAATTTGGTGGCTGGTGGAGGAGGCTCCTCTTTTGCCACTGGCTGAAGGCAGTCAACCTTATTAAACAAAAAAAATACAGACAAAAACAGACACAAGAACTTGCTGCTGGAATTCACATTAGTAGACCGGGGTGCTGCACACACACAGAGCAATGCTGACACCACACGCCAACGGGAGGGTTGTCTAAGGAGAGGCATGAGGCTACTGCTCAGCTCTGCTCCCACCTGAGGATCAGGGCTGTGTCCTCCGGGCTGCTGCCAGGTACCTGCTCTAAGAGCCCACCCACCTGTGTCTGCATGGTGGGGTCGTGTGTCCCTGTGTGTGCCATCCCACATGGGCAAGGGCCAAGGGATTCAAGTGGGGACAGAGAGCTGATTGAGACCGACAGCAAAGCCCTGCTTCCTCTCTCCCAGGGATTGACACCCTCCACAGCTCCAGATAAGAGGGTTAGAAGGTTTTAGGAAAGAAATCTAGGTGGCTTAGGAACTAGCTCAGAGAAGAGGAGAAGATGGCACTCAGCCTCTCAATGCATGTTCTCTCACCTTGCTGCCCTTCCAGCAGGTGTTCTGCCCCACCAACCCTGCAGAGAAGCTTCACTGTCACCTGTACCTCACCGGCCAGGTAGCCTTGCCAAAAAGCTGATGGAGAACTTGTTCAGCACACACATGGTGACTCAAAGCTCAGATCCTACATTTAAAGCTGCTCAAGTTCCCATCTGCAGGAAACAGCCCTGAACCAGCACCTGGGACAGAACAAGAGCTGATAGCCACTTGTAACTAAGAAACCTGTCCCCAGGGGAGGGTGCAGCTCCAGAGGATGCAGTTTTGCTGACTACAGCATGGATTTACATGGGTTCTCATTTGACCATAAAATCAACAGCTCATTTCCACAGATTTCCACAGACTTAAATGCTTCCAGGAAGGGAAGCAGCAACCTGCTGGGAATGGTGGTCAGAAAGGAATTGATCCTTCCTGCATACAGCTCTGGGACCATTTGGCATTGCAGCAGCCCATCCCACGTGGATGTCAAGCAGAAGGTCCCTAGAACCATGGCAGACAATGAGTAGGCTGATGGGAAGGAGTACAAAGTACTGGCAGACCAGCAGCAAAAGGCCTCTTCCGAGGTACTCACTCAGTTAACATGGTCTCACTGCTCTTGGAAACACTAAATTTGTATAAAAGAACTTAGTCCTTTCTGGGCTGTTATGGGAAGGTGCTACTGTCCCTCACCCCGGGAACACAGGCAGTTAGTCTGACAAGGCAGTGAGCGTCTCTTGCTATTCTAAGTGAGCTCAGATGCACACTTGGTCACAGAAAAGGCACATGCTAAATGGATGGGGTAAGGACATTCCTTGGGACAAAGGAGAACAAACTACTCCATACTTGTATGCCTATAGACGACAGCTTTCTTTTGGGGATATTCTCCACTTTAGGCTCTTCGCTAGTCAGAGTCCCTTTGTCACTTTTCAAAGTTGCATTTTTCTGAGGTAACTCTGGAGTGTCTCTGGCTGGAGTCACGACGCTCCCCCTCGTCACACTGGGTGTCCTGGTGCTGTCCAAGCTGTCCGAGGAATTGCTGAGCCCTGACTGGCTGGTCACCTCACTCTTGTGGTCCTGGCTGTCCAGGTAGGTGTCCTGGGCCGACTCAGTGCTGCTCTGCACAGTGACAGAGATGAACGGCTTTGATGTGGTCCGCGGTGGGACAGGAGGTGGAGTCTTTTTATATGCCACTAGGCATGATGAACCTGCAGTGACGGAGGTGGGAAGAATGGAGAATGCAAAAGACAGATTGGAGAGAGGGAAAGAGATACAGTGAAAGAGAAAGAAAAAGCAGGTCAGTCACAACATTCAAGAGGTGCCTCCAAGCAGCAGCTGGAGGCAGAGATGCAGAACCAGCCCACAGCCAGCAGCTCACACTGGGGACCCAAACCAAAGCATAGGGGAAGCGGAAGGCAGAGCCAGAGCTAGCTTGCAAAAGAAGTCAAAAGGAATACCATGATGTGTGAAAATCTGGAAATAGAGAAGAGGGATAGAAAAGCCTCCCAAGACTGCTACAGGGTTTGGCAGGTGTAAGCCTCCACGGGGGGAAAATATTCTTTGTCTAAACCCTATGTTTTAGTGTCCTAGAACAGCCAAGTGTCTCAGTTCTTTGTCCCATCAGTTGACAAGTTTCAGTGTCTGGATCAGGGCGATGGTTTTTCCTATAAAAATGGAAAAAAGCCATAAGTACGTTAGATGCTGATGGTAGGAAAATATCTGAAGTACCTGACAAACCTGTCTGCTATGTGCTAAAGGAGAAGACACCACCTGGACACAACAGTCCAAGGGTGGCTACTCCATGACTCCAGTTCCAGTGCGAGGCTGGAGGTGTGTGCCCAGCAGGCACAGAGCACACGTACCCACCACAGGTATGGATACACACATGCCTGGCCACACAGATCAGAGGAGCACTCACATGAACCTGGCCACAACCACAGCCTCATCCTCCTCCTGTCACTGGCTTGACAGGATGGAAGTCTACTGATGAAAATACACGTTAAAGGTGGATCCTACAGGCATGTTTAGGCCCTCAGTCTGTCAGGGACATACAAGCCCCTGAGACCACAGTCCCACTCCAGCTGCTGTCCACCCAGGACAGGTTGCAATGGGCAGGGCATGGCTAAACACACTGACCAGCTGCCTAACCATACACAACTGACCCCTTTCATCCCCTTAACCCTGTACTTCCACTCTTGGTCTTCCCCAAATGACCGAATGCTCTCTTATCCTACATTCAGTGTCTCCCATGAAGTCCTGTGCAATCCCAAACTGCTTTTCCTCTGCACCCCATAACACATCCCAGCCCCTGCCAGCAGCCTCCTCAGTCTGAAAGATCTACAGTTTCTCCCCATGGCTCACAGTGACACGTCAGACCTGGGCACCGAGGCTGAGGCTCTGCTGGGACAACCCCTGGAGGGGCCTGGGCAGTGCTCAGGGGTTCTTGGCTTGGTGACCCACCTGCCATCATCTGTCCCTACTCTGAGGTTGTACAGATGGGCCTGTGATGGCCTCTGGAATCAACCTGGGAGGAGCCCAGCAGGGTGTGATCTGAGCTTCTGCTGTTGTCTCAGCCTTCATGGGTGTGTGGAGGAGCTCTGTCACATCTAACACTGCCCTGCTTCTGGGCATCACCAGAGAGGTTCCATCACCCTCCTTGCACAGCACTGCCCCACCACTGCTTCACCTTCTGGGAGGGCCACATTCCCAGAGTGGGAAAAGGTGCTGCTGCCGGGTTTCTCGCAAGGGGAATTTAGGTCTGTGTGGCTCTGGCATGCCAAGCCCTCTGGTCCCACTCCCCCGGCAGGGAGCTGAAGGATTGCATGGATGCAGGTTTTGGGGGAATCCCTGACCAGACAGCCCAGGGTTACCCTTCTCTTGCCTCAGTGTCTTGGTGGTGGGGGACAGCCAGGCTTTGTCCCGCAGGTTGGGCAGGAAGCTTTGCTGCTCTAGGTTGGGAACAGATCAGCTCCATGACCACCCTGGGTCACAGAGAGCCAGGCTGGCCTGAGCTGTACCTTACACGTGAAAAGGAAATGTGTCCCTGACCCTGGACATGGTGAGGCAGCACATCACTGAGGCACAGCTACAGGGCAGCCCCTTTTCCACATCAGTGACAAACCAAGTGTCCCTAAGTCACTGCAGTACAATGACGTGGGAAGCTCTGATGGTGGCAGGGCTGCCACTCTCCTTGGTTCCTTGCCCCAATCCATAGTCCTTGGTCTCCAGCAAAGGGATTCTGTCCCTCAAATTGAACCCCCACGCCTTATCTTGGTCCATGCACACCTTTTCCCAGGCCCTTGACAGGCAGATGTTGTCAGGTACCAGCTCAAACTCTGCCAGGTCACCCAGCACCATAGAAGGGCTGTACAAACTTAGAAATAGTTCTTAAGTGTTCTCCTAGTACAGCTCTGATGGCTGCAGGGGCTAGGATTCCCTTAGGTTCTTTCCCTGCTTCAATCCATATTCCCTGATCTCAGTAAAAAGTTTTGCACCTCAAATCACAAGCTCCTACATCCCAGTCCCATATAGAACCTCGCCAAAACCTGTGGACAGTGACTGATATATATACACATATATGCAAATACAGATCATTTTCATTAAACGATACTCTTAATTTTACCATTTCCACCCCTTAAGCAACCACTAGCATATTAACAAATTTAGTACCAGATTAGACCAGTCCCCTGTTAGGAATCCTTTGACTATTTAGGAGTGCAAGGGCAGGCAGAGGTACCTGCTGCTCCCCAACATTACCCTCCACCTCCAAACGTCCTGCATGCCCTGGGCAGCTCCCAGGAGGGCACCTGACAGATGTTTTGATGTTTCAGGACAATTAGACAATCTGTTCCATGGATAGTTTTAGCATAGTTAATTGAAAAGTACCAAATGAACCTGATCCGAACGGATTACAGGTATGGAAAGGGATGTTTCAGGTGACAGGAGCCTCCTGGCAGCTCCTGTTCCTGTCCAGACAGCTGCCTGTGCTCACTGTGGAGCCTGAACACACTTGAGGGGCATTCAAGAGGGGGATTTCAGCTGCCTGAACCGTTTCCAATGGGACCAGAGCCAATCCCAAGCAACCCTGGGAGCCGTATTCCCTGTGGAGCAACCGCACAGCTCCACCCTGGGCCTTACTGACAGTATTTGGACGTGCCTGTACTTACATATCCCAACATTTACTGTATTAACAGCTAAAGTTACACTTCAAAGGAGGAACCTAAATGGGAGGGATTACACCAGGAGGAGATCTGTGTTTCCAAAAGCATTTTTGTACCCCAAGATGCTGAGCAGCCCTGACAGTGACACAGTGCTGCCTTGTGTTACTGTACCAGGGCTACAGCAGCTACAGGGAGGGCAAGCCACAGCCACCCAAACCGGTGAAAACATGTCCCTGTGCCCCTTCAGTTAAGTACCTCCCCACTCCATATGGCTTCTGTCCTTCGCCAGGGGCAGTGCCCAGTCCACAAACTGCAGGGTCCCCTGCACCCACGGGCTCTGTGACACCCTCGTGCTCAGGGCCAGACTCCTGGCAGCACTGTGGTGGCTTGGCTGGCACCTTCATGAGAAGCTCAGCTCAGGTTTCCCTGCTGCTGACACCAACAGGGCTGTAACTGGGGAAAGGAAATCGATGGCTATCTGACATTGAACAGTGCAGGGAGGCAAAACAAGGGGAGGGCACAGCTGCACAGAAAGGCAGCAGATCCTGGGGGAGGAGTGCTCAGGGTCAGTAACTAGACCCAAATTCATTCTCCCAACTACCAACAGACAGCAGAAACTGTTTGTACTGCTTTGTTTACAGAGGGAAACTGCAGCATCCTCCTTGGCTTGTTCCTGGGGATCCCTTTGTGCCATCCCACTTGACTGAAGGGCAGCACGGGCTCTGCTAGAAGGGAAACACCCAGTACCAACAAAACACGCCCCTGCTCATGTACAAAGGGTCAAAGGGTTGACTATGAGAGCTATAAGTTTAAGGCTCTAAGAAACATTGCAAATGAAAAATGCAAAAAGATCAGGAGCTTTGAAGAGCTAGGGATGCATTTATTAGTGCAATTGCAAATTAACCCCCCTGAAGCCCTCCGCAACCATAAACCAGGACTTTTGAATGCCCAGCAAACCCAGAAAACACCCCCTCCCTAAAATGCGTTTCAAAAGCACAAGTCAGAGCAAGCCCACCTAGAACAGTCTGACCTTGGCCCTCAACACAACTCTTAACTAAGTTTCAGTGTTTCTCGCATCTGTGGGAAGAGACAAACATATTGAGGAAGCCAACAGCATCCCAGTGTTTCCACAGGAAATGCAGGTAGCATGCCCTCCTTGCAGAGGCCAGTTGCACCAGTCAGGAGCATTCCAGTTGCTGACTTACTCCTCCAAAGGGCTACAGCACATCAGGGCATAGATCTGCTCTGGAGTTGCTGTGGGTCACAGCCTGTTATATTTTAAAATCAGCTTGTGCTGTAATGTGGAACTACAATCCCCACGGGTACTGGAGCAGGCACACACTTCTGCACAACCATCAGCTCAGTCTGCTTGGCAACATCAGCAAACAACCCAAAAAGGTGCAGAACAAGGAAGTGTGGAAGTTGTGCTTAAGCTTCCAGCTTTGCAGCACTAGGCTATTCCTGCTCACAGGATCTTCTAAGGTTTATTTCAGCAAGTTGTTGGAATTGAAAATGTGCTGTGGATGACTGATTTTGGGGGGGAGGGATGTTTGTTTATAGCCTTCCTTCTGTCATTATTTTTAGAAAGCAGCTAGTTTCCAAATTAGCACCTTCCACCTGCCCTGGGGGCTTGGGCAATCCCCACTGATGCAGCCCCAGGCAGAGGAGCTGTGTCTGCAGAGTCTTACACTGGACAGTCCTCCAGACCCTCAAAAAACAGCTGGGCATGCTGGGATCTTCTCCCTGTCCTTCCAAAGAGCCAGGCATTTGCTTCTTGGAAGACTAAACATAGAGTCATAAGAGAATATTAAATCCAGCCCTGACTTAAGAGGCCCCTGTTCACACCCCACCAGCCTGTTACCTGCTCAGTACCTGGCAGAAGCAGCAGGATCACAGCCAAGGTATTTGGGTTCAGATTTAAATATCATAATTGCCCTCAAGTGTGTCTGCATGAAGTGCCCAGTTGTTCCACTGCTCTTGCTGATTCAATACAGCCTGGTGACACTTCTAATCATTCCAGGAACTTCAAGGACCTATTCAAACCATCCTCATTTTTGTTAAATCACCTCAAAGGTGCCCAGCCACAGTCAGCTGTGCAGTTCCACTGCCCTCAAACATCAGCAGGGCTGATTATCACTGTCCTGCTCTGTGCATCCTCTGTTCTCCTTGGGAAGAGCTGAAGGAACGACCTCCATTCCTCACAAAGCAGAATGCCCCAAAATAATCACTCCTACAAGACAAGCTCATTTGCCTTTTAAATAAAACAACCCTCGGGAGATTCCAGTCGCATGGCTTTGGGCTGGCCTTTGCCACAGGATCTCCCTGCTGGAAGGAGCTGTGTTCGGAGGCAGTTTTCAATAGCAAAGGGAACTGGAACAGCTGCATTCCAAGAAGCCTGACCTCTGATTTTCATCAGCTCAAGGAACACTTCAAGGTTGGAGCTTTAATGAACTGCAGAATGCTTTACTTGTAGAGAGTTGAAGTGAAAATGATCCCCAGTTCCAATTACTACTGAAGACAATACAGACATTGATTGATTTTATGGTTCACAACAATCCCTTCAGACCTGATTTTTCTCATAAAACAACATATTTCTAGCCATTACAGCCACGGCCAAAGAATACAGGTCTCCTCAAACCTGTATTTGGTCTGTAGAGAAGCTATTTTGAGTATTCTGCAGATTGAATGTAAGGATACCTCAAGATACCTTTAGGATACCAGGTGGAGGCACAGATGAGAAACCTAGCCAAATTTTGTAAGTGAACAGGAAAATCACAGAAGTCAGAAATCGTAAAGGCTTAGGTGGGAAGGAACCTTAAAGCTCATCCCATTCTACTTTCTGCCACGGGCAGGGACACCTTCCACTATCCCAGGTTGCTCCAAGCCCCATCCAACCTGGCCTTGGACACTTCCAGGGATGGGGCAGCCACAGCTTCTCTGGGCAACCTGTGCCAGGGCCACACCACTCTGACAAGGAAGAATTTCTTCCCTAATATCTAATTCAAATCTCTCCTCTTTTAGTTTAAAACCATTCATCTTTGTCTTATCACTATCTGTCCACGTAAAAAGTCGGTCTCCCATATAACTCCATCTGAACACAATGGGAAATTCCCATGAAGATGTCATCTCTTGCTCTGACAGAATGATTGTCTTTAGAGTGCCAGAGAAATTTTAAAAGAAGTCTTACGGTGGTTAAACAAAACTACTCCTGGAAAGCAAAGTCAAGCGGCCGCATTTGTTCAGAATGGCAGTTTTTGGAAATGCTATAAATACCTTCTGCCTCAGTGTTTCCCTTCATGAATCTTAGTAGCACTGATCTTTGAAAAAAGAAGAATCTCACCTTGATACTACACAAGTAACAGGCACCTGATGGGGAAATGCTGCTGACTGAGCAGGCTGGGGGAGCCAGGGAAGGGCTGTGGGCTCTCCTGCCAGCCCTCTATCCACGCTGCAGTCTGACCCTCAGCAGCAGCAGCATCCTGGAGAGAGCAGCTCCTCCACATCACTATCCAAATCATGTGCTGCCTCCACGGGGACTGATGGTGCCCACACAGCCCTGCAGAGTGACCAGCCAGGCAGAGCCCTTGAACTCTCAGATAACCCAAAGGAACACTAACACTTCACCAGCTCCCACAGCCCTTGGCTTTGCTTACTGTACCTGCTGTTTATTTATCATGAAGCTGATTCACAAGCCAGGCTCTGCTTTAAGTTAGAGGACAGAGCATTCTCCAGGAGCTCCTCCCAGCAGCAGCATCAGGGAAGAGCCCTCATCCACGTGCACTACAGCCCTGTGCATTCAAATCACCTTGAGTAGTTTGAAGGGGGTCAGTGGAGATATTCAACATTCCCCTTGTTATTGCCCTACCCATTCTCAGCTTTCAGCCCTGGCACAGCTCAGCAGGCAGAGCAGCAGTATTTGGGCATGGCTGGAGTGACAACTGGGACAAGGGGACCACTGTGGGCTTGTCGCTTCTCCCACCTTACAATTATCTTGTTTCCAGGACAGACAACCAGGCCTTGGGCTCTCTGCCCCCATCCCTCCCCACAGGACCTGTCACATCAGCCCCTGGATTCCAGGCAGAAGCAAGAGCATCACAGTGGCATCAGCGGGCACAGCAAAGAGGCCACCCCGAGAGCAGGCGTGTCTGCAGCAGGGACCAAGGAGAGCTGAGAGGCAGCAGGCTGGTGTCACATCCTGGCACCCCAAGGCAGGAGTGTCACTCCTACTACTGCAGCTGTTCCTACCACCAGCTATGGAAGATGAGCAGCCCTCACTCAGGGTTGTACCTCTGTCCCTTTTCCTGACCCAAACAGCTCTGGAATGGCTGTTGCTATTTCCCCTTGAACACCATCAACGCACTTGTGACATAAGTACAGAGGGGAGACGCCCTAAGGAGAACCATTCCTCCCACTCAAGCTCTTCTGGGAGCAGCCACAATCCAACCCCCACACATGCCTGACCCACACTCAGCTCCCCACTGGCACAGCCTGTACCAGGTTTGCAGGCTGCATTTCAGCAATCTGGCATTTCGTTGCAGAAAGAAATCATTTTTTAGCTTTAAGAAAACACCTTAAAGCTCCCCAATGCAGCAAGAGAAGCTGTCGCAGGAAGCCCTTCCATGTTTGCAGGAACACAGGATTAAACAGACCTGTGCAAATAGGTCTTTGCTTTCCAGCTGGGAAACCACTTGCAAGTGCTGCTCCAGCAAGCACAAAGTTGGTAGATCCATCACCTCGTGCTCCTGTTCAGGTCCAGCACCCACCCTGGTCACAGCACTCCTGCACGTCCCATAGGCCCTGCTGGCAGGACCCATGTATCCATCTGCTATTAGGAAACGAGGGCTGGCCCTGCCCTTGCCCAACCACTGCCAAGTAAGCAAGCTCCTGCATAACCCTGAAACGAAAGAACAGGACAAATCCGCAGGAAAAGGACCTCAGACTCAAGGAAGCATCTCTCAGATGCTGCAGTCAAATGCAAATAAAGAAGCAAAAGGCTCTCTCTGAACATCAGCTCTGCATTTGTAGACTAACAGTAGAGCTCTCATCCAGAAATCCATCACAACATACTTTGTACAACCATTTGTGTTCTGTGGTCACCCATGACAGAGATGCCCTCAGGGAGAGCTGCAGTGTCCCTATGCAGTGTGGCTCAGGGAGTGCCCAGGGCAGGCAGGGGGCTCGGGTGGCAGTATCCTGTCACTCAGGGCTGCACAAGCCTCAGCAGCCAGTTCTGATTAGAGACCCAGTCCCTGTACTTTGGAGGGGGGAGCAGGAACACTACCCAGGGAAGGAAAAGCTGAAAACTGTGATATCTTTACATGAGACACCTAGGATTTTTCCATGTACCAGCAGTTTGAGCATCACTGAGATGCTCCAGTTTGGAATTCCTGCACAGGGAAATGATAATAAGCACTGATACACTGAGAACTATTACACAGGGAAGACAAGGCAGCTTGTTTTTTTAAAAAGAGCCTCTTGTAGAAGGTCATAAATTTAAAAGAGCCATGAAGCAGCAGACAACATCCCCCAAGAATCTGACAGATCTGGTCATTCCCCCCTTTCAGCACAGCTTGCTGCAGTCAGCCTGACAGTG